GTGGTAACAGTCTTCTGCTTCTCAACAAAATTCAGAACATATTGGCTGACAAAGCCCCTGAGGCTATTCCTCTGCTTGAGGAGTTCGTGAGTTCATTACCTTCTCTATCACAAGAAATTGTTGAGGCTGAAAAACGTAAACGTTCTATGGTTGTATTCGGCGTCCCGGAAGCTGATCGGAACCTTCCCCCATCACAACGTCAGGCTTGTACCGTGTCTTTCGTAACCGGATTACTTGATGTACTGAACATCGAGGCTCATCCAGTTGAATTATACAGGATGGGAGCGATGATGGAGGATAAGCCTAGGCCAATAAAATGTGTTTTTTCATCTCGACGTTCTTTACTTGAAGTTTTGTCAAATGCTCGCAAGTTGCGCAATACAACGGCATACAAGGACGTGTATATTCGCAAATCAATGAGTCGAGAGGAAAGACAAAAGGAGAGCAATCTGAGAATGCAAGCGCGCGAATTGAATAAAAAGGAGCCTCAAGGTAAGCGTACCTATGTCGTTTATCGAGGCGAGCTTGTCAAGGTCTCTGATATTCCGCAGATTAAGAAGAAAAATGTTTCTGGTGCATCTTTTACGGAAAAAATTCTCTCCCCCACAAGCTTTTTGACTACAAAATGTGTTCTTCTAAATGCACGAAGTCTTGTAAATAAAATCCCTCATCTGCATTGCCTCTTAAGCGTCTTGAAGCCCCACATTGTTTTCGTTACAGAATCTTGGTTAACCAAAAACATCACAAATTCCGAAATTTCTTCTGATTTTCCATATTCCATTCTGAGAAAGGATAGGTCCATCCGAAAGGGCGGAGGAGTGTGCGTTTTAATACATAGTCTCTTATCCTATGAAAGTGTCACTTTCGATGACAAAGGCCTAAAATCAAATGTTATATGTTTTGATACCCTTGCACCAACTAGACATCGTTTCCTACTTGTGTACAGACCTCCAAATTCCACTGCTACCCAAGACGATGACCTCAGTTCTATTTTGTTTGATCTCGCTTCAGCGGTGACCTTCCCCACCACCATCTTGGGGACTTAAATCTAACCATTGATTGGTGTAACCGCTCGGGCGTCCCTGCCTCAGAGAACAGATTCCTATCGATTTTTGATGCTCTCTCGCTAATCCAATACGTTGACTTTCCTACACGGCAAGATAGCGTTCTGGATGTGGTGCTCTCGCCCCCAGGAACTATTTCCCACATTAGGTCTCTGCCACCGTTATCAACCTCTGATCACAATATGGTATCCTTTGTCTTGACTAGCATCCAAAAGGAGTATGAGCGAAGCATTACAAGGGATTATCACCATATGAATAGAGAGGGCATATCGTATCATCTTAAAAAGATCAACTGGTTGGCAGCCTTTTCCGATTACAACAACATTGACGATATCTACGCGAGATTCATTTGCATTATTCACAACCTCATCGAGCAGTTCGTTCCCCTTAAAAACATTGAAACTCATACGGGGAACTATCCACAACATATCTTGAATCTACTAGAACAACGAGAGAGGATTTTTGAGGAAAGCTCAAATGCTCTCGAATCAGCCCAATTTTTGGACCTGAGTAAAGAACTTGACCGCCATTTGAAACGCTTCCTTGACTATAAGGTTAAGAAATTAGCCGAGAAAGGGAACGTTAAGTACTTAGCGGCACATGTAAATAAATTTCTCAAACAAAGAGGAGCAAGTTGCAATCTACTGGGAGTAAATGGTGAAAAATACACCACCGATCACGATAAAGCTGAGGCCCTTGCCGACTACTTTGAAAGTGTTTTCACTCCAGCCGCTAATAGACCTCACTCCACACCCAACATCACAGATAAATGCCTAGTATTCCCAATCATTACTTCACAAACGGTGTATAAATATCTCAAGACCCTGAAGCCCTCCTTCTCACTGACTGCTGATAATGTGCCTCAATTCCTCTTCAAGGAGTTTGCCAAAGAACTTGCAATACCTCTTGCCCATATTTATAACATATCCTTTTTTTGGAGCAGGTCCCATCTATTTGGAAACATGCAGTTGTCACACCCATTCCTAAGTCCAATGACTCCAACCTTGTCTCGAACTTCCGACCCATAAGTATCTTATGTACCCCCCATATACTGGAGAAAATAGTTAAGAGCTACCTACTTAAATGGGTTACGGAATTGAAATGCTTTCCTATTCAGCAGCACGGATTCCTTCCGGGTGCTTCAACTTGCTTGCAACTGATTGATTGCACTCACACCTGGATTAAGGCGATCAATGCTGGCCGGAAGGTCGCCATTGTCTACTTTGATTTAACAAAAGCTTTCGATACCGTGTGTAGATCCCGCCTTTTAGGCAAACTTGAAAGCATCGGTGTCCGGGGACAGGCACTTAGGTGGTTCCAGTCCTATTTGGCAGGGTGGAAAATGAGAGTCGCGGGACAGGCACTTAGGTGGTTCCAGTCCTATTTGGCAGGGTGGAAAATGAGAGTCCGCTTCTCTGATTACGTGTCTACCTCAAGAGAGTGTACTTCAGGAGTTCCTCAGGGAGGTAGCCTCTCGCCACTTCTTTTTCTTATTTACACTTTCGACCTCGTTAGCTATATTAGAATAGATACAAGACTTCAGATCGCAGCCTATGCTGACGATATAAAAATATCTGTTGCTTACGACGAAAATAATAAAGAAAGTGCCCAAAACCTTCTCAATCTAGCCGTAGAGAGAATGGTCAATTGGTGTACCCAGTGGGGACTCAATATCAATCGGAGTAAAACCCATCTTCTCACATTAGGGTCGCCTCAATTGGAAATCTGCTTCCCTGATGGAACTCCAATTAGAAAATGTGACAATACCAAAGACCTCGGAGTGAATCTGTCAAAGAGCCTGAAGTGGAGCGAACACATAGAAATTGTTTCTAAAAAGGGCCTCAGACTAGTCCACATGCTGTTCAGAAATATACATAGTTCCGAGGCTACAGTCTGGATTAAGCTCTATAAAATGTACGTTTTACCCATAATAGAGTACTGTAGCCCCGTTTGGAACCCTTCTTCAGTTGGTGATGTTCAAAAAATAGAACGAATACAGCGGACCTTTACTAGGATTTTATTTTATAGAGTTTTTCCTTCCAGAAATTACCCACAGTCGTTACCAGGGTATCAAGAACGTCTGAAGAAACTGAACTTGAGGTCTCTACTATAGACGGATTCAATCAGATCTAATTTTAGCATTCAAGCTTCTGAAAGGTGAACTTCGCATCAAGCCATCGACTTACTGGACGTTTCTGCCCGCATCAGGCCGAAGAGGATCCTTTCGTATTCTTAACCACAAGATGGGCAAGTGGCGTCGTGAACTATGGTTGAACAGCTTTACTGTAAGAACTGCGAAATGGCTGGAAGCTATGCCTTTTCGGCTCCTGGAACTTACTGACTCCAACCAATTTAGAAGAGCCATTAAAAAGATGAATGTTCTCGAGTCACTTGGCATTCCTGATGTTGTTTGATGTTAAGCTAGCGCTCATCCTCATTTTCATTTACTTGTCTATTGCATCACTCGAATAATTGCTCTCCAAATCAGTTCTCCTGTTATGCTCTCGCATACTGCCGAATCTTCCTCACATTGATCCTGTCTGGACTCATACCCACCACATTTATTCAAGATATCTACAGGTTACTTGATGTTCTGATGGAAGTTTTCTCCTTATCGAGTACCAACGGTTTGGTGGCTGGATGGACACTCCGGGCGCATGCATGTAGGTCAGACTTTATACTCTCCTAGCTTACCGTTTCCACGAGGGAGGTCGGTATACCCGTGTTTCGAAGTTGCGGTAAGCTCCTATGACCCCTGCTGTGGCGAGTGGGCACCATAGCCGACTGGTGCAGGTGGGTATCTTGTACTGGCTTACGCGCATGCGCGCTGGAGCGGACACGGCGTCACTGGGCCGTATTGGTCACGGGATGAGCAGTTACACCACCGTCTGAGCAGCAAGAACCTTTCCTCCACGCGTTTGGACACTACCCTAGCTCAATCTCTATATTTTTTGGCATGCCATCAAGTTTCTAAGAATTAGGTTTTTTGTTAGAATCCGTTTCGTTAGTAGTTTTGATTTTTGATCTGCTTAAGTTCACTGTTACTATACAACTATGCTCTGTTTGATCCTCGGCTAGTTCCGATGTATTACAGAAGCGCGTCGGTCGACGCACACTATAAATAAATAAATAAATATTCGATGTTATAATGGGTCGCGGACATGATTCATACAGTTCGTTGGAAAGAATCGTTTCTATCAAGGCGTTACATCGATAGAAAATCTACATGACGCACTAATCACGCTCCTCCTCTGCAGTCAATTTTTCGACTTTTTCACGAAGCTCGGCCGTTTGTGACGCTCTGTAAATTTATTCAACAATAGATTAGCATAACCTATCGAACCGTTGGACACCCGGTAGTTGTTGTGCCAATGCTATATGCCTAGACATATTCTGTAATGAGGACAACGCGCCCAGTCATTTCAGTTGTCACACAAAGCGGTAATCAGAACCCTGGAACACACATCCAAGTCACTTCATGGTTATTGGCAAAAATCACCCGATTTTTATATGGTTGAGCTCCTCAAGCATTTTCAAGTGCCATTTCAGCCCTGTAACCTGGGTCTATCGTTTAATCTCGTGTTGTGATCCCAGACTTGGTTCTGGGAACGTATGATAATATGTCTAACGCAATGATATTCCACTCAGAGGCAAATCAGCTTCCGAATATTCATCTGTGAGCGAACTTGACAGATGTGTTTGCCAGCGTAAACAGAAGTAGTTTTTCTTCGTTCACCGAGGCAGCTCTCAATAAACCTAGACGCGAGATCGCCTCGCCACATTGGAGTGACGCCAAACTATGATTGCGCTCGCATGTTTTTCCCATTACAGACATGCGGTCACTCGATAAGCGTTGGTTCCGCGCCACAAAAAATATGCTTAGCAAGCATGATGAAGGAAGAACTTGTCGAAAGAAGGATATTCCCTCAATTATACAGGGGTGGCCAGAAAAGAGACACTTCACCCCACATTCCAGACAGCATTAATCACACTTTGTAAAATCAAATCGACTGCTCCCAACTTAGCATTAAAGAGCACATTCTAATCTATCTAAACCTTACATGATAGCCTTCTACACTGACGACATCAGAAGATTTTCCCACGGAAACATGGTTCACGGTACGAGCTCAACGAGGTCGTCGAGGTACCATAGACCATTACGACGTCTCTGAAACGCTGGTCAAAAGCGGTTTTGCATAGTCACAGCTAATGTCTCTGGGAAGCTATTCAACAGTTAATCCATTGAAGAAATTATGTAGCAGCTTCAGGCCGGAGCGATTTCGATAAGCTTCGTTGAGCTCGACGGTGGCGGTAAATGACGTCATATTCCAAAGACGGCGGGGCAGTGAAGGAGGCCTGCTTCTGCTTACGGGGGAACACCTAAGGAATATTCCGCCGTAAAACTTTCATTAACATCGGCACCCTGTGCGACGAAAAGTTCGATGATGTGCGCCATGGGCAAAGTGTCTCTTTTTTTGGCCACCCCTGTATAAAATCGATGATATGGATTAGAAATGTTAAAGCCTTCCAACAGTAAAAGATGGCTGAGAGAACGGATAGAGAAATATGAGTCCAATAAATTTGCTAGCTCCCAGCTCAGACACAAGTTTATTACCAACCATAAGTCGACAACAAACTGCGAGTACAATCCAACATTTGGTTCGATTGCAAAGCTCATCTCATGCGCTCCTTGTCATCTCCTCGCACCAAAATCATTTTTCAAAAGCGAAATGATCAGAACGCCAGACCATTACAAGTTTTTTTTTATCTGGGAACCTTGTCGACACTTAACGTTTTTTATTGTTTGTTTCGCCATCAACACAGCTGAGGCGTTGAGGCGAATAAAGATGAATTTATTTCAGAATGTTCTTCTCTACATCTGTGACGTAATAACTTCGTATAGCACCTAGACACACTTAAAGCATCCTCTCTGCTCACCAATACCGAACAATCCTACGTAACTTTCTCTATTTCGAATGGTAAAATAAGTATAGAAATCCACCAATCGTACCTCTCTGCAAGCTGCCTCTCAATGACCCCCTTCAAATTGTTTGTCTGCTCGATGTTCTTTAGTATTGTTTTAGTATCAGCATCTAGCAGCGATTTAGGTTCTGAAATTTTTTCGAAATAAAAATGTGCTACTTATTCAGATATATAGTGTTTTCATTCTAACGCTGGTTAGATTCTTCTATAAGAAGTGCTCAGAGCTTGCTCATAGTCGCCTGCCTTGTGGAAATAAATTCTTACCTTCTAATTCCTTCACCTTTTCAGCGCCTTTCGAATTGCTAGCACTAAGGAGCTGTCCGACAGCTGTGGCTGCATTCTAAACAGCTATCTAGATCAGACTGGCTAGTCTAGTTGGCAGAATGATCGAAATTATGACTGTTGTGAGCGATTCACTCACCATAGCTTCTTGATCGGTGAGTGTGTGCGCCAGCTCAAGATTCATCACTGTTGTACTCAATTCAATCCACAGGTTTTGAATCGCACTCGTTTTGTCAACGTTTGGATCCTCCCAAACCTGAATTCCCAATCAACCTCCAAAGAAATGATATACAAAGAAATGATGCGCAGAACTAGCGCTACTCTTCTTTCTTGTCGATATCTTCTTATTTGACCATTGTAAAACTTATACAGTTTTATAAATCACATTCACATAGAATTAAGCTAATTACACCACATACTCAAATAGATTTCAGTCAAGTATAGTTTTTTTCAAATCGGACATGGATCGAACTCTCAGATCCAGGATGAATCAAATTCTGCACGCAGCACTTCAAAAAGCCACAGCGGAATCATCGTATTTTCTTGCCTAAGGATGAGCCGTGCTTATTCCTTCCACTCTCGGAATCATTCGAAGCGAAGCTCCTTCGACAATATCCATAAATGCTATGCAGGTCATTAGCCATCAGCCGCCCCTAGTTGCTCAGCTGCCTGAGTGACTTTTACTACACTGCTACTCGAATATTCTTTTTTATTTCCTCTAGCGCACTTTATTCACTTTGTCTGAAGGTGCCTCTACATGCTTCTACTCTGCTTATGTCTCTCAGTTTTTACAAGCGCTTTGAACCAATTCAGCTGAAGAAAGGGCAATTTAGAGCAGGGCACTTGCACTTCAGCAAAGTGCTCCAGCTACCAACGTTACACGCAACGCATAACAAACAAACTGGGGATGGAAGACTTTTGCCCAGGCTGAAAGGGGAGGAAGGAGCTACGGAATGGTTGATCCACATTTTATGGTGAGATGCGAAAACGCCTCTCACCACAAGAGAATTGGCACCTCATTTCTAAACAGGGACAACTGTTTGATAGGAATCACCCCGATCATCAACACCTCGACCAAACCCTCTAGCTATACTGTCTTCCTCTAATGCAGTTTACTACGTAATTTCACATTATAGACGGATGCTGTGCAAGCATGCTAGGCCATGTAGTAATGTTGTGTCATGATAAAACCGTGCAAAGAAGTATCAAAATAATTGCCTTCAGCGAGGTTCTCATCCGATGTATTCACGTTGGGCCGCAAGTAGTTTACATCACATTTTTAGCATTTTCTCTGTAGCGCTGTATAAACAAATACTGCAATGTGCAAAACATGGTCTCCTACTGTAGGTGGGTCTACGCGAGATGTCCTATTGGTTGTGGTCCAGGAAAACCAAATTCCCACAAATTCTTTTAGCAATCTGAAGATATGATGTTGCAGAAGCTCACACAGCTGCTTTGATATATTACCAGAGGCGCATGACCGGCGTGGTTTATGTGAGGTATTTGCTATAGGGTCTTGAGTCGCCCGGGCCTTCCATCCCTCCGGGGTCGGGGTTGGTTAATTGGTACCAGACTGTCTGGGAGGATAAAAAACACTGACTTGTACATCGGCTGGCCCCGCAAGTCATTGCATAGGCCACATCGCATTCAAACCCCACTACGAATGTACAAATGGAAGTAGAATGCGTGCTACATCCAACGTCACCCTATTTGTGAAAAACGAAGAGAAAAATCTCATCCCATCTATTCCCAAGATCCATCAGGAAATTTCCCCTCTAGTGCTCAGATGCTGTCGCCACTAAATGATGGCTTGCGGCAAAATACTCTTGAGATCTCTCTCCATAAGTAGAAACAAGCCCTCGTTCACTATTGTCACAACCTTCTAGATGAAAGTTATTTGTCACTGTCGTCGAGCTCAAGGCTTAAGGAGGCTTAACGCTCGAACTTTGCACCATACTCCCGCGGCAGATTCCTTTTGTGACCCACCTATAGAAGGCTGTCGTAATGTCACCGAGTCAATTAGGGAATGCCCTTTATTTCTCATTCAGAAGAATGGGAGTTGAATTGAGAAGAGTGTGATTAACAATTTACATTTGAGTGTCAGGGAGAGAGGAACTTCCATTTTCATCGCTTTTTTGCTCCTCTCCACTTTCCAAAAGTTTCCATAATTAAGGCAATGACATGATCAGCTCGGAGAATAGAAATAAATAGGCAAAATACGAGAACTTCAAGTTGTACCTTCTCCCAATCATCTTTATTGTTTATTAGAACAGCTTGTAGTATAAGTTTATGTTGTGGATTGTAGCGATTGCCAACGAGCTCAACCTTTACCTGAACAATTTTATTCAGTTTTTTGCTACGCGAATGAAAGTTTCTTTCTTACGGTTGCGCACTCTACGATTTAATAAAGGATGTGAAGATTGTAGAATTGTGAAAAACCTTTTCTGATTACCATGGGAATTTTGGGTCATCTGAAGAAGACCTAATACATACGTCTGGCTATTCCAGGATGTGGTGTAGAGGTGGTAAAGATCAAGTACTATGGGGTGATGAAGTTGTTAATATAGATATAATGTTTGCAATTTTTCAGAACTTTAATACCGGAACTGGGTTGTCGTCCGATAGTATTCCGCAGTTGGGATTGACGATATACCTTGTCGGTGCGTTCGTCTGAAAGTAAACGAACCATAAGACAAATAAAGAATTCACTATGTTTAACTCCCGAAAAACCTCGGAATATCGGTGATGAGTAACTATTGCCTTGTTAGATCTGTACATGAGTTTGTTAATAGCTTTATAGGCCATCGGCTCGGCGAATCGCCTTCGTAAGAGCCTTTATCAGATCCATCGGATTAGCTAACGACTACCACAGTACAGTAGGCCTTCGAGTAAACCATTTTTTTTCAACCAGTTTGTCTCCACTCGCTACCTGTTTGTATTTACTTTTGAGTTTTTGGAATTTTTGAATTTCTGAACTTTTGGAATTCTTTTGAAATAAAATTTTGGTGCCTCTCTGTGTTATACAATATTTAGGTGCTGATGAGGCTCCGGGACAGCTGTGGTGGTGTAACAGCAACACCCGACAGTATATCATGCTTCCCCGAACACCGACCATCTTGTGAAGATTGGAGCGGTTAGCGGTCGAAAAGATTATGATATTGACGAAGACATCGCGAATGAAATGGAATGCTTCCTTATCGCGCATCTACATAACTAATTTGGCTGGTCCTCAGCTGCT